CACAGCCACACTCACACACCCACATCCCACACACCCACACCCACCCACACCCACAGCCACACTCACACACCCACATCCCACACACCCACACCCTTCATATCATAATTTTTTCCCATTACGAATGAAGCTCATAACAAAAATTCTTTTCCAAACTACATAAAAATCATGTTGTTTGCTATATATCATAATTTAACAAGTTCATTTTTTTCAGTGAGTTCACGAATATTACGCTCGGTTGTTATTCGAGCTGGATACTCCACAAGATGAAACTTCTCATAAATAGTTAGTGCCCGCTGATAATAGTCAAGAGCATCATCGTACTTTCCTTGCTGACGGAGAATATTACCAATGTTGTTGAGACTCGTAGCAATATCGACATGATCAGATGGATAATATTTCTTCCTCATTTTCAATGATTGTTGATGATAGTCGAAAGCTTCGTCATATTTTCCTTGGTCGTAGAGAATAAGACCAATGTTATTCAGACTTGTAGCAATACCGACATGACCAGATGGATAATATTTCTCTTTCATTTTCAGTGCTTGTTGATAATAGTCGAGAGCTTCATCGTATTTTTCTTGTTTGGAGAGAACAAGACCAATGCTGTTGAGACTTTTAGCAATATCAACATGATCAGATGGATAATATTTCTCTCGTATTTTTAATGATCGTTGATGATAGTCGAGAGCTTCATTGTACTGTCCTTGTTTATGAAGAACAAGCCCAATATTATTGAGTACATGAGCTGAGTCTTTGATGCGTGGTGGATTACTCATCATCATTCGATCATATGCACGATCATAATATTCTCTCGTTTCTTTCCATTCACCTTTAAAATGAAGAGCTCTACCAATATTATATTCAATCCAAGCAAGATCTTCATCATTAGGATCATTTAATAATTGTTGAAAATATTTCAATGATTTATCATAGTAACCTAAATTACACATCAATCTTCCAAATACAATCGAAAAACTTTTTTCTTCTGTTTCTTTTTGTGTTAATTCAATATAATCTTTTGTAATTATTTGTCCTTCATTTGATACATTCATATTAATTAATTGTATTGATCCATTTTGTTCAATAGATTCAATTGTAAAGCAAGCATTTAAATCAAATAAAACTTCTTTTTCTTCTGGATACTCACTAAATTGTGTAATATCAGCAAAAATAACCGTTTTGTCAATTTGTTTAATATGACATTTAATTTGAAATAGTACAGAAACAACATCTACTCTTTTTGTTGATTTCATTGCAAAGGCAAGTGCTGGTTGTCGAAGTTGACTAGTTGATAAATATCCATTAGTTGAAATTAGTTTTCCTTGATTTTCTTTTAGTTTATCAAATTCTTCTTTGTCAAGTTTCGCTCCTCGATAAACAATTAACATCTCTTCTTCAGATGATAAAATTTTTTCATGTTCACGATTGAGATTTTGTGACAAATCTCCAATAAAAAAAACGAAATGTATATAATAAATCAATATCTTCACTTCTTAATGCTTTGCTAATCAATTTATAAACGAATGATTCTTTTGAATACCAACAAATAGCTTCTTCTGATCGATATTCTCGTTCAAATTGATTGATTAATGTAAGCTCTTTTGGATTTCTACGATAATAGTGTTTACACATTTGAATTATTTGTTGTTTTGCTTGTTGATTTCGTGGAAGATGAGTTATGACATGATTGAATAATTGAAACCAAAGAAATTCCGCTGATTGTTTAGATAAATCTTTTGTTGAGTTTTGATGTTGATCAAAATAACTAAATGTTTGTAGTTGTTTATCAAAAAGATCAATTTGTTCTTCTATTGATTTACATAATTCATCAAGAGTAATATAAATACCAATGATTTTAGAATATTCATTTGTCAAATGTTCATATTTTTCTTTTTTCATACAAAAGATAAAAATGGAATCAACTTGACGAAGAGAAACAATTCGTGGTAATAATTGTGATGCTTTTGATCCAGATGTAATTAGAAATATTTTTTCTTTGTCGATGGATTGAATAAATGTCACACATTGATCAAGATCTGTATGAAAAATAATGTAATCATTAATAAGACGAAGTTTTTGTTTAGTTAGTTCAGTATCTTGACGTGATCCAATATTTGGATCAAACCAAAGAAGTGTCGTACTTTCTTTATTTTCTTCGTTATCAATTGTGTCTGTCAATTGATTATTGTCGGTAGAGGAGGCTGTGATACTAGTAGATGATGATTTATTCGACATGAAAATTAAAAATGATATTATTATTATTTGTTTCGATATTGGCGATAAATGTAAAGAAGAAAGTAATTTATTGTGTAATAACAACTACATCGAATAATAAAAGAGTGTTTTGCATTATATACAGGCTAAGGTACCACCGCCTTGATTTTTCTTCTTATCTTTTGCAGCGTTTATAGTAGAACAAAATGTTTTCTTTCTATCATTTTTATCATTAACTCAATAGTGCTGGCATTTGAATGTGACTGGTGTATGGAAAGTATATTATTAAAGCACATAAACCAATTTCGTTTCTTTCTTACAAGAATTTGTTGATGACAGCACAAAGATGGTTAATCACAATGATGAATAATTTATTAGTCTGGTAACATTTAATAAAGATATAAGTTAAATTCTTTTAAGAAGACACTTGTAAAGCTTCGTTGTTGATAAAAAAACATCACAAATTCGGATTGAATTATTTAATTTTCTTATCTTTCTATAAAATACGGAAAAAAATCGAGAATAATGCTTTTCAATCTTCAAGTTATTTCTGAACATATTCTTATAGGTATACTTATGAACAAAAGTCTTTTCTCCCTATCTGTTTCTGTGCTGCCATACTTTATACCAAATTTATCGTCGAGTTCAAATATGACATGAGAATTTTATTTCAGCATGATGTACAGATCACAATGCAATAAAACTTTCAAATCATATTTCTACTCGGCAATAAATTTGATGCAAAGTATGATTGTACAGAAATAAACAAGGGAAAAGACTTGTCTATGGTATATCACTACTTAATAATAGTATTGATCGTGTTATCACCAAAGTTTGGTTTATAGATATTTCTTCTACACTTTTCATAAGAACCATCTCTTATTACCAATCGAAGAACAAAATTTGACTCATGTCAGATCGATATTATACAGCACACAATCGCTATACTAATAAATAATCAATGAAACATCACACAATTTGTTGAAATGAGATCCTCGTGCGAATCACTTCAAATCTGTCATAGTAAACCATAGTGTCGTCGGACACCTAAAATCGCTATTACTTGATTGATACAAACGCTATTTCTGATTTATAACTTACTAAAAAATGAGTAATTATTGTTAGAGAATTTCGAAAATTTGTTATTGTTGCCATAAACATTATAGTTTATCAACTTTCAAAGAGCCAATATGTGTATATTACGTTGAAATCCGAAAACGAAGTTTTAATCAGCAGTAATGACACTTATATAGCACTAAGTAAACCATATATTTTGAGACATCTATTGCCTTTTTAAAAAATCGACCATTAAGTCAACTGTTTTTTTCAACTGATTTTTAAAGTTAAGATTTCTCAAAGAAATTTTTCTTTTTTTTTGGTCTTTTTATTGAGTTCGAGAATGACGATGAAAATGAACATTCTTTATCAAATCAAAACAACAAAATAAGAAAATATTTCAATTCCAATGTTTCATTTGCTTATCAAACATAAAAAAATCGATTGATTTTCAAAAATCTTCGTTTTAGACAAATGAGAACATTTGTTAGTGGGAGTGGTTGTAGTCTCATCTCTCAATTTTCTCTTTTTCTTTTCAGATATTCAAATCGTTTTATGAAAATTAACAACGAATTCATTCGTTCTTCGTTATTATTCAACAATATTTCATCAAATAATAATCAATTGATCAACTTAATCTTCGATAATATTGAAAACAAATCATCGCTATTGTTCAATAAGAACAAGTCAAAATCGTTTCTCTTCCAACAGTGAGAAAAGTTTCTTTTGAAGAAATATCAAGCATTAATTGATGAAATTAGAATTGAATTAAGTGGAGGAGAATAAGCAATGTCTCGCATTAGTTCGGGTTGTATTAAAAAAATCTTCGATATTGATCTTAGATGAAACAACAATTGCTTTACATTCGAGTTTTCTTTTCTTTTCTTTAAGATCGAGATATCTCCGAGTAAGTCGAACAAGAATAATGATTGCACATCGTTTATCAACAATTGAAAAAAGTGATCAAATCTATTTAATTGATTAAGGAAGAATTTGAGAAGAAGGAACACATCAATCATAAATACAATTGCGAGGAAAATCAATTTCTTAATTACTGTTTTGATCAAAGAATTCTCATGTAAAAACATCTCCGATTTCTTTTTCAAAGAATTTTTGATGGATTAAGTTGAACGAGAACGTTGTTTAAGTGAATGTCAAATGACTGAAGTCGGTTAAAGTTAAGGACCCTTTACAGAAACCCATTTTTTTCGAAAAAAACCGAAGTTGAGTTTTTATCACAGGAAGATGCGCTGAAGTCTCCTCTTTCAGAACATATATGTCTTTGTTTCCAAAAAAGGTCAAATTTTAATAAACTTACCAAAGAAGATTGGAATCCTACTTCCATATTTTTTTAGGCATTTTTGGATGTTTTTCAGCTTTTCAAAGATATTGCTTTTCTATTTTAATATATTGTATTAAAAAACAAAATATACGACAAGATGCAGCGTGAAAAGCTCTACAATTTACATAGCGTGTGGGTAGCTAAGGTGTGGGTCTTATTCTCATATCCACACCCCGAGCCCACACTCACACTCACACCCTCATCTACATTCGTTCTCTTAGTCTTTCTGCATAGATTATGAATGTTCTCTCTAGTACTTTCTAGGAAGCTTTTTGGTTCTTTACCAGCTTGTCGATAGTTCCTTTTGTTTCCGTGTTCATGTATATTTGTATGCCTCACGCCTACAACAATAAACGTGTTATACATACACGATAAAATTAAACTTGTCTTTGAGCAACAACTGGCTAATGGTCGACAGTCTGTGTTAAGCTTTGTGTGGGTGTGGGTGTGAATGAACATAAAGCAAATACACACACCCACACCAGCCACCCACACCCAAAATGTCGACCATTAGCACATTTGCTATTGGCAGATAGAAATAATATGTTAATTCAAAAGTTTCTACAAAAGAAAATATTAAACTTTACTATGCGTCGTTGCTGATTTCTAAATTAATATCATTGTTGCTTGTTGAAAAGAATATGATGTAAACTACAAACTTCTTATGATACATATTTTCCAAGAACAAATATGAGCAGCGTTAAAAGTCAAAAGCTAAATACTTTACAAAAATGTTCATATTTACTGATGATATTTTGTAGAATGAAGAAAATTGAAAGGAAAATATTTATCAAGCATAAGAAGCTTCATCATTTTTTTTTATTCTGCTACATTTTTATGACATGATATTTTAATGAAACTATTGAAATAAATTAGCTTGGTTTCTAGTGTTTATAGACAATAGTTCAATTCATAGAAAACTGATAGTTTTGGCAATAGACACCGTTTTACGAAACTTTGTCTTCCAAACAATTTTCATTAAAAACCCAACCCAGGTCGAAAAGTACCGGCCGGTTCCGGCAGGAAAACACCGGAAATCAACGGAACATGGAAGCAGTATTCCGGCCGGAAATTTTTCGGATTTTTTCCGGTGGATTCCAGCCAATTCCTGTTCTTTCCGGCAGGAACCGGCCGGAAATCCGCCGGAAAAAGTCCGAAAAATGTCCGGCCGGAATACTGCTTTCATGTTCCGTTGATTTCCGGTGTTTTCCTGCAGGAACCGGCGATTTTTCCGCGTCTTTCCTGCCGGTTCCTGCAGTATCCGGTGACCGGAACGATCGACCTGGGAATAGCCGATGTAATAGTTAAGAAATACTGTTTTTTCAAATGTGAAAATTTTTCTTGTAAAAATACTTAGCTCTTTTACTTGTTACGTTTCTTAGATTTCAAGTTTGCATAATGATATTTTTTTCAATGTAAAAATATTCGATTAACTTAGAAGTCAATAATATAGGTTGGTAGAGTTCGACATTGTGTTGTGAGGACGTATGTGTGGGTGTTGAGCTTTCTTTTATGCACATATACATGTGTACTCACACTCCGTTTCAAGCTATATAATAGCATTTATCAGTTTGTGAATCTACAAAATCATTAAACTTTAAATGACCTGAACTACAAGCTGGTAGCAAATATTTGGTTCGCTACTGAAATATAGCAATAGTAACTTAGCTTATTTTATGGGCTTATGTTACACGCACTGTTATATTTAATATTCTTTTCGACCATTGACACAACATTGTTAGACATGACATTTCTGAATGTTTATCGCGTACACATGAGATTTATTGACGTGAATTGATTCATTTGAAGGGATGGTAGTACATGATCAATGAACAATAATAGCAGAGCCTTCTTGGACACGACTATTCTAGGGTATGATAGTGCACGATATTTTGAAGTTGGTTTGTTTGCTACTTCTCTTACTCGTACTAGGCATTTTTACAGTTGGCGTTACTCTTCCTTAACAAAATATCGCTGCTCAACAACGTGACGAAAATCGTCCACTAGCTCAAAAACAACGGAAACAAGAATCAAATATGTCACGTCAGCGATGTAGACGAATAAAAGAAGATTAGCAGCTGATCCAATAGTCGCTACTATCGCACGAATGAAGAGGTTGTCTATTATTCGATAGCTCGACATCTCTAGAAATATTCCTCTTATTCATTATCTCTCAGAAGCTAAACAGCTCATCAATGGTAACAATCTACTTGAATTGTCAGACGTCGAATTGAACGAAATTGATTTCAGCATTCGCATTGTACATCATTGATACTCACGTCATCTTTCATTTGTTCGTTCTCAACTACGTAATAGTTCATTTTGTAATTGAAATCTATCCAAGACTAATTTTATTGGAGCAGATCTTGCTAATACACGATTCAATGTAAGCCATCTCGATAATACTGATTTATTAGACGCTATTATCTTGCGAACTCACTTGTCCAGAGTTCATCTGATGCACACAAGCGCATGGTGCTATGTTCATCAATGTGACGCTATAGAATGCATCATTTAATGGAGATCATTTGAGCGCACCTGTTTCTGTCACGTGTTACTGTAAACATGTTTATTTTCGCGAGCCCCATTAAAAGGATCCGTATTCATTGGTGCACATATCTAGCGAGTCAACTTCTCACATGCCTTTGTAATCAATATCAACTTGAAGAATCTTGAATTAAGTTACGCCGATTTCACAAGAAGTAGATACACAAATACAATCTTCATTGAAGCAAAAGTGAAGAAAGGTCGTTTTGTTGATGTTAATTTATATGATGCTAATTTCACTGCGTGCTAGAATGAATTCGATCGATTTTAATAAAATTATTTCGATCTTAGCAACTTTAACTCATATCGTATTGAGCAATCCAACATTCGTTCGAATCAACATGACTCTGATCAGTGTTTCACTTGCCGTAATAAACAATGCAATATTCCCGAACTCGCAATGGTTCAGTGCTGCATTTATACGCCGTACTACACTACCCAACTGTACAAAAATCAACCATGCTGCACATATGCTCTGCAGTGGAGACGCTGATCATAATCTGCCTATTAGTCTTCAATAAGAGCTCAATTCTCTAGCTATCCTTAGTGCGACGATGTGGAACTGACAGTTAAGACAACTCCACAGATTCTATGGTTTGTACTAACAATAAACATTAGATCACAAATTTTTCGGTAGTTCAGTAGCTATAAACATAGTTAACTTGAAGGTTCACATCCCACACTCTTAAATAGACTCTTTTGACTTCGAGTTGAATGAGATTTTAAAGAATCAAAAGATACCGTTGTATCTTTTACACGGAACTATGCCAGATTTTTTTCTTGCAATGCCGACAATATCTATTATGCGAGCTGAATATTCATGAATGAAAACTGTTCAGTCATTTTGAATATTTTGGAACATTTCAGATAAAACTTTTTTACTATAAGATTTTATTTTGAAAACATCAGAAGAATCTAAATATTTAAGCATATGTCAGATCTTGTGGTCAAGCATCCAACAAAGTTGAAGGTTGAAATAAGGAAACATTTATCATGCTTATATGCGCGCATTGGTTCTAAATAAGTAGATAGTTTCATTCAACCAAAGTTCGATTCTTTATAACCAATTCTGCTAGAACAGGCAAGTGGTCAGATGGAAAATATTCGTTATTCGAATCTGTTAAAATTGCGTGCTGCAGTACCGTAAAATGCTGCGACGTTACAAAGATGTAATCTATACGGTCGCCCAGACCTTGTCTTACGAAGAAGGTAGCCCAAGTGCCATCCGGACCATAATGAGGCGTCTCCGTCAAATTTTTCGTATCTTGCAAAGAAGCATCGGTGATGATAGTTCTATAGACATCTGAATCGGGTCCTGTATTAAAATCACCCGTGAGTATTACCGGCTCTGTAAAACCAGTTGTATTGTGTATGCGATGCACAATCAAACGAGCACTTTCACTACGAGCCATCACACCGATATGATCCAAATGAGTGTTAAAATGATATAGTGTCTGACGAGTCCAGCGATCTTGAAGTTTCACCCAACTACATACTCGTATGTTAGCTGCGTCCCATCCTAGACTTCCAGCAATGTCTGGCGTTTCCGAAAGCCAAAATGTACCATTATCAAGTATTTCGTAGCGATCAGAACGATAAAAGACAGCAGAAAACTCGCCTCTGTTTTTACCATCGTCACGACCTACACCATACCAATCGAAGATAGGCAACGCCATCTTTAAGTCTGCCATCTGCTGAGGCAGAGCTTCTTGAACACCGAAAATATCTGGTCTATGATAACGAATAAGACTGGTTAAACGATCTTTTCGGAGACTCCACTGATTTTGACCGTCCTGAGCTATGTCCAATCGAATATTATAGCTCATGACACGAAACGACGATATACAATGTTCGGCTGACATAGCTACAAGAAATTGAACTGATTTTAGTTTGAGCACTATTTATCTACTTATGATTTGGATCGACAAAATAAAAGTTTGACATAGTTTTCACGTTAATAACACCCGATTAGTATTATCTATCAAAAAACTGTTCCCCTTATCTTCGATCTTATGTAGCATTTTCTCAGATAGAATGACTAAGAAAATATGAGAATATATTATTCATTCTTTACATACTTGTCGTTGTCGGTAAGCTTCCAGTAAAAGTAGCAGTCGTAGGAGTGACAACTGCTGCACAAAGCAAAGTGACAACAACAATTGGAAAAATAGTCCAGAGAGATGTTTTGCTTCCAACAGATGCACATCTGAAAATGTTAACCTTTTGTCAAGAATGAAAACAAAAGATACATACATGGTTGCTAATCGATTGCATTTTAATATTCGTGTATCCAATGGCACTTGATAAGACTAAAAATGTCAGGCAAAAAAAGAATCTCATATTATACGTAGTCTTTCAAATAAATAAAATGACATACACTGCCATCGTAATTCATTTTCGGTACTTCGCTATTATACGACATTGTCAGAATATGTATCTATTCGAATGCTTCGCAATAAAAGAAAAAAAGCATATCATTATATGAAAAACCACCTAAATTTCTGTTATATTTAGTATTTTTTAAATTTGATCAACAAAATGGAAAGTGATTAGAAAACAAAAAACTACTCATAAGTTAAAGAAATGTATCTAACGACGCATCTTTGATATTCATTTGTTTGGATAAGAAACATGTATTAAACGAGCGAGTAAATATCATTCACTAAATATATAACAAGCTGTGCAAGCGTGATTTCTTTTCTATTTATTCCTTTAACACAGTGAGTCCAATATATCAGCGACAAAATGTCATTATATATGTGTGTTAAATATGTATTAAGTGAATATAGTGATCGAAAGAGCTTACACATTCAGTAAGAGAATCCAAAGAAAAACATATTTTTACTATTTATTCTCTTAGCTAAGCCATTAAAAGGGCATCTATAACTAAATCCCCTGAATTCATGTTATTCAGCATAACAAGTAGAAAATTGTCAGTGATCATATGACATCTTACATAGAGAAGATACAGCAGACATTACAGATGTAGCAGAATTATAACTCCGATATCTACAAAATTATAAATAGTGTCTCTAATAAGACATATATCTATGTATTTCTGGATACTCAGTACTTCCAATATATCCTAAACTTGATTGAGCGACATTGACATAATCTATTCAAACGGATCTAAAGATGTATTAGGGTAATTACGTGGGGTTCCTACCACGAAATACAGAAGTATCTCCAAATTAGTGTTCAGTAGGCTCATCTTATAGAACTTTTTGCGCTGATCATTTTAGCTACCAAAAAGTCAATCATTCGATAGTAAATAAGGGAGAAATCACCGAAATACTGAAATACCCCTTTTCCCACTATTTTTCGACTCGAAATGTGGTCTTTTTCAGTATCTTAGCCAGCAATCGTTTTAATATTTCCATAATCGAAATTTCCACTTCAGATTCGTGTAGAGCATTGAAAACTGTCTAATATTATGCATTTTTGAAAGTATTTTCTTCATATTTTTTGGTCCTATGCATACATCTTTCTTCTACTAAATACAAGAAAAATGACGAAAATACGGAAAATGTTGACATATGAGTTGAATAAAAAATGGAATTCTCGCACTTGGTGGTATATACAGTTCGATAGAGCAGAAGCTCCTCTATCGAACTGTATATTTAACTTTTCATGGGAATACCATTTGCTGATAAAATAGGGTCAAAAACGCGAAAACACTGTTTTTTTCACGATATTTTATGCGAATTTTCGTAATATTTTAACATTCATTCGTCTTTTTTTGAACCAAAACAAAATATTAACTTTTGATTCATAATCAGCATGAAAAACTGCATCGAATAAGCTATTTTGTGCTATGTCGATGCATCTTCCCTAAAGTCTCTTGGACTATCTATCAATTTCTTGTGTATGGTGCCAAAATATTAATTCATACTCAAAAGGAGATATGTCATAGTGTCGAGCTAGCTTCCCAACAAATGCGAACCCAATTTTATTATTCTGAGAATCAGCACTCATTGCTGATTATTTTTCACTAGTTTATCTGCTACTTTATCACAACTTATTTGGTCATACATGAGGTCTCCCTCATGGATCGAAAAAAATTTTTGTTCCGGTTTTAGTAGACGCACTTCTAGTTTGATACAGCTCAGTGTCCTGATTGCAAATATAGCATTTTTTAAAATGATTGGTCTAATAATAAGAAACATCTGAAGCACTTTCTGGGACGGGGTGTGGATGTGCGGTGTGGTGGGTGGGTGTGCGTGTGGGTGTGGGATGGGTGTGGGTGTGGGGTGGGTGTGGGGTGCAGGCGTGAGTATAGGTGTGGGTGGGCTGTAGGTGTGGGGTGGGTGTGGGTGTGGTGTACTTGCAACGATAAATCACACCCACACCCACACCCTCTTATTTACACCAGAAGGATAATGTAGAGACAATGTATATGTGTAGGAAACGTAGAACAGAGATTTATCTATTAGATTTTCTATTTGGGTTTGAATATCTTGTTGTGTACCTTCCTTCCGTAACAATATAAAATGACAACAGCAGACATGACTCGAAATGAATTGAAGACTACGCTATCCACAACATTTAAACACTAGAAGTACAATTATTTTATGACAAAGTATGCTTTATCCTTAAAACAAAGTTCAAATTGAGTGCATAATTTATAATTTAAATTTCAAAAAGATTTTTTTGATCAAAAAGTGAAAATAAATTTTATCTTTTGTCTTTTTAAGCAGACTTCTTGATCTATGGTTTGATGCAAAATTAGTTTATATTTGTCACTTATTTTGAAAACAGGTTATTGATTAATATAAATAGTGCTGAGTAGAGAGATAGTCTCATTATACTAATGGTCACTCAGATAACTTTTTTAATACATTAAAAAAACAAGTTTTTAAATAAATTTATTCGTGCTACGATAAAAAAATCTTTTTCTT